GGCGAGCGCGCTACCGCTTGAGCCACATCCCCAGCCCATCAACCTGAGCTCTTAAATGCATAAAGGAATGGGTATCTAGTGGCTTTAAATTCTTTTTTCACTTTAAAAAATTTTTTTATTATGGAAATTTTATAACATAATAAACAAAGGGAAAAAATAATATTGGGACCTGCTATGTCCTCATTACCCCTTCAACTCACGGTCAGTTTTAGTTCTTTGTATGCCTCCTTCCCTCACTAACATACATGCTCTGTTAATCCCCCTTGATTATTATGAAGCACATTCAAGACATCATGTCATTTCATTTGAAAATATTTCAGGCTTTTACTCTAAAAGAAAGGGACTCTTCTTTTAGTTGAGGTAAAACATGAATGAAGTGTATGAAGTACACAAATCTTATACATACAGGTAGGAAATATGAATTGGTGAATTTTCTTTTCTTTTTTCTTTTTTTTTTTTTAAAGGCTGATTATTCCTTAGTAGGATACTGACATTTCCAGGCTTTTTGCTCATGTAAGTCTTTTTTTTTTTCTTTTTTTAAAAATTTATTTATTTTTTTAGTTTTCGGCGGACACAACATCTTTGTTTGTACGTGGTGCTGAGGATCAAACCCGGGCCGCACACATGCCAGGTGAGCGCGCTACCGCTTGAGCCACATCCCCAACCCAAATTGGTGAATTTTCAACCTCAAAGATTCTGTGTATCCCTCTAGAACATTTCTTGCACTACAAAAGGTTGCTGCATGCCCTTTGCAGGCTCAGGTAACCACTCTCTCAGATCCTTTTTAACCTCCGCAGGCTGAACTGGGCTTCTTTTCTTGTGCCAGTAAGCAGCTGATTCACTTTGGTATCTGTTCTCCACCCTGTCCCTGTATTGGGAACTACATTTCCCAGACTCCTTTTACTCTGGCTTCTGCATAGGTTCAGCCAATAGGAGGCACTGGCAAATGACAAGTGGGTGAGGAGAGAAGACGCCAGGCCATCTCTCCCATTCTGTTTTCTGGCATCACTTGTGGCTAGTTATATTTCTTTCTACACTCCTTCCACAATCCCATTTCCTACTGGGGAGTCCCCACTATTTAGTTCCTGCTAAATAGCTTTGCGAGCTTCTTAGTCTCTAATGCTGGGATACCCTTCTGTCTTCCAGCCTAAAGGAGGGAAGCTGCTTCCTGCTCTGTGACTTTCTTACTGTCTCTTTTGGTTTCTCAGCTATTCCATTACCCATATACCAATTCCTTGTTAATTTTTTTTTCCATTTGGAAGAGTGTTTCATATTTCCTACCTGGCCTATGACAGACACATCAATAAATAGCTATTATGCCTACCCAATCAACCTGTGGAGGACAGAGACTCACAAAGACAAAAAATTCCATGATTTCTTGTGGGCAGGGTACCATCTTCACTTTTTTCCTTTCATGTTCTTTGCCAGCTTCCTTTGAAGTTTTACTGAGGTCCATTGGGCAGCACCAGACCCAGACTGAGTGTCCCATACACACTTAGAACCTATGAAAGTGATGTGGTGGTACACGCCTGTAATCTCAGTGGCTCGGGAGGTTGAGACAGGATTGTAAGATCAAAGCCAGCCTCAGCAATTTAGAGAAGCCCTGTCCAAAAATAAAAATGGCTGGGGATGTGGCTCAGTGGCTAACTGCCCCCCTGGATTCAATCCATTGGTACCCTAAACAAAACAATAGCAATAATAACACAAGTGACAGTGGGGTCTCCTCCCAGGCCTTTTTCAGAGCAGGTTACTGAGAGGTCCTTCTTCCCACAGGCCCTTGAAGAATTCCAAAAGGAGATCAGTATGAAGAGGGTCTTTCAAATGTTCTTTCTTTCTCTCTTCTGTCCCACACTGCTGGTGCCCTTGGATAGGGTCTGGCAAACACTGAAAAACGAATATAACTGATGAGGGCTGACTTTCTCTACAGTTGTTCTCAACTGGATGAATTTGCCCCCCAGAAGACATTGGGCAACATCTTCAGACATTTTTGGTTGCAACTGTTTTGGAGGCACTACCATTCTAGGGCATAGAAGCCAAGATGCTGCTAAATATCCCATAATGCACAGGCCATCCCTCCACCACAAAGAATTATCTGGCTCAAAATGTCAGTAGTGCGGAGGGTGATAAGCCTTGTGTTAACCAAGGGAATAAATTTTTAATGGTGAACTTCTCAGCATTTTTCCAGACCCTATCTGGACGAGACTAAAAGTGAAAGGGAGGGATTTTCTGGTCCATCGTTTTAGATTCATATCCCATAAATAAAGATAAAAGTATTGCTGTTTTCCCCAGTGTGTATCCCAGGGTGGAGCAGCTAATTAGTTCTAAGTGGTAAGACTAAAGAGTTGTATTTAGCCAGATTTGGTGGCACATGCCTGTAATCCCTGTAGGAAGCTGAGGCAGGAGGATCGCAAGTTCGAGGCTAGCCTCAGCAACTTAGAGAGACCTTGTTTCAAACTAAGATTTTTAAAAAAGGCTGGGGATATAGCTCAGTGGTAAATAGCCCCTGGATTTAATCCCAGTAACAACAACATAAAAAATAGTTGCATTTAATTAACTAATTTTTACTCTAGAAAGGATATAGGCTGCAAAGGAAAAAGTGAGACAATTTAGGTAAATTAATAATTCACAAATAAATGATTTATCAGAGGAAATTAGGATGTTAGATGTTTGAGGTCTTCTTTCTCATTTTTTGCACAAGCCTCTCTGTCAAAAATGAATCTTGGGCCTTACCAAAAAGAGGCTAATTCTTCTGTCATCTGCAGAGTGGATCAACAAATAGTGACCAATAGACCTAGGTCCCTGTCCTCAGAAAACTCACAACATGATGTATACATATGTAAGTATGCACACACACTCTGGCTTTCTCTAGCATAATCATAGTAAAGAGCAGCAAGTACTGAGATAGGCTCTCCCTGAGAGTGTGGAGGAGAATGATTCCTTCTATCATTGTCTGTCCCTGGAGCACAAGAGGCAGGAAAAACTTCCAACTCATAATCTTTATCCTACTGATAAAGTTCAGTTCTTTCCATGCAACCTTATTTTTTTTTTTTGGCGGGGGGTGGGGGGACCAGGGATTGAACTCAGAGGCGCTCAACCACTGAGCCACATCTGTAGCCCTATTTTGTATTTTATTTAGAGACAGGGTCTCATGGTTGCTTAGCACCTTGCTATTGCTGAGGCTGATTTGAACTCTCCATCCTCCTGTCTAAGCCTCCCCAGCCACTGGGATTACAGGTGTGTGCCACCGCGCCTGGCTTCTAGGCAACCTTTGTACATTTTATGGCCATACCAAGAATTAGAAGGTGGCTGAAGTTTGGACAGGGCTGGGACTCTGGGAGAGGCTGAGAGGAGCCCTAGAAAGTGGGTGCTTCCTACATAAGATCAGTAAGACCCCCGACTTCCCATACAATAAGACTCCACTTCTGTCATGTGGGTTTTTTTTTTTTTAACCTTTATTTATTTATTTTTATGTGGTACTGAGGTTCAAATCCAGTGCCTCACACATGCTAGGCAACAGAGCCACAACCCCAACCAAGACTACACTTCTGGAAGTCAGGGAAGCAGTGTTGAGCTTGGAAGCGGAATTGAGGGTGGTGATGCTGCACAGGGAGGAGGCTTGGTTTTCATTCTGGCCCCACTTCAACTTCTGAGTGACTGTGGGTAAGTCACTTTGCTTCTCTGGGCCTCAGTCTCTCTCTCATGACTTGAGCAATGGGCCATATTCAGGTTGGCTAGCAAGGCCTCTGAAACCATCTGGCCTGCCTTACCCACCTCTTCCTATCTTATCATTTTTCAAATGGGAATGCTGGGGCCCAGAGAGATAAATTGCCTGTTCCAAAGTCACACAGTTTAAAAGCAAAAGTGGAAGCCATAGAATAATATTTGTAACATGGTCACACATGAAAACAATTGTACATTTAATATAAGAAAATACATATAAATCTATAAGGACACACAAAAAGATACAGGGCTGGGCATGATGGGACATGCTTATAATCCCAGTGACTCAAGAGGCTGAGGCAGGAAGATCTCAAGTTCAAGGCCAGCCTGGGCAATTTAGTGAGATCCTGTCTCAAACTAAAAAATAAAAAGGGCTGAGGATGTAGCTCTGTGGTAGAGTGCCTCTGGGTTCAATCCCAGTACTGGGGGAAAAACTTGAAAGTGACATATATACAAATTATAGTGGGTCTTTTTTGGGCTGAGGGAAGGAAAAGAAATGAAGCAATAAAAACAGTTATCATTCCTTTTAGTTGTGTATTGCTGGGAAACGATTGTGACAAAATATATTTGTGTATTATTTCTACACTTTTAAAAGATATTATTTCAAATGGAGCCCTGACAAAAGCACAGGTCTCAGCTTTCTGTTTTTCTCAAAACGAGCTTGCTCTGGCCCGTTCCGGATCCACAATGCTGTGGGCTCTAAGTTGCTCCTGTACCTTGGCAGGCTGTGCCAGGATCACCACACTCTCCAGATCAGACCTTGCAGTTCTTAGCCCTTGAGATGAAGACTGTTTGTCATTAATGGCTGGATTTCAGACACCAGCTAGCAAACAGAAAAGGCAGGGGGGTGCTTCTGAGCACCTACTAGATTAAACAGTTAGAGAGCCACGTATCTGTTTGTAGGACCCTAATTTACAGACCTCACTCATCTAGGGGTGTCTGGGGTTCCACAGGGAGGCAGGGACAGTGCAGAGAGAGCTTTTCTCAGCACCAAGGAGACAGTCCAGTACCCAAAGAACTGATGAAATCATGGTCTCTACATGGAATTTAGACCCTTCCTGACTTTCAAATCCAGGTACAGAAGAGCCCTCAAGGAGGAGAAGAATTCTGAATTCTGTTTATAACTCTGATGCTGTTCAGTTTTGTGACATCAGGTCAGAAAACCAGCTTATCTTTGTGGAGGGCCAGTTCTTTTTCTGGAAAGTGAAGAAAATGCCAATCTTTCCTTTTCCTAGGGGAGGTTTCACAAGAGATGGCAAGGGAAACCACCAGATTAGGTTTAGAATCCTGGGTAACACCTGCTCTTACTTTTAGAAATCACAAGACAGCCACAAGGTCAGGTTGTACCCTGAGCCAGAGGACCCTCCTTCCCTCTTTGCCTGGTGAACTCATTCTTTGCCATCCAGTTGAGAGGCCAGCATCTCTGGGATCTCACCTGGAAATGAGAGCCTCCCTTGGACTCTCAGAGTGCTTGGTTCTTATCTCTGCCTCTATATCCTTATCTTACTATATATTGCAACTACCTGTTTGCAGGCCTGCTTCTTTCCATGAGCATAGATCAGTGCTCAGGCAGGCCTGGGCTTGCAGGTCGGAGCACATTGGAATGCCCAGGCCTACTGCTGGAGGGAGGGAGGCAGGAAGAGCCAGTGACCACACTCCTGCACTCTGGGCTGCCTGCTGCAGGACCCAAGGGTGGTAGATCTGACTTGCAAAGGGCCTGAGCTATGTGAATGGATCTCCTGTGTCTCCTGGGGTCCTCTTTTGGGGCTAGATTCTCTGACCCTTCCCTTTCCACTCACTCACTGCTTCCATCTTTACTATTTGGCTGCATTATAATCGAATAGAGGTCTTGGAGAAAAACAGCCCCAACTAATTATCCCTCTTCCACAGCAGTGTAGACTTGGACCATGTGCACCCTCTTCCTCCCAGACACCCAGAAATGACACATCCCTTTTTGCCCTCTCAGTGCTCTCTGTCCCTGCCTTTCCCTGGGCTCCCAGTCTCCCAGTCTTTACCCACAGTACCCTGCTTGGCCCCTAGGCTACCTCTCAGTGCCCACATTCCTGCAACCCCGTGACCAAACCAGGGGACGTTACACATTCTTGGCCTGGCAGTCAATGGTGTAAAAAAGAACAGAATGTCCCAGGGCCCCACCCATCCCCCAGCTTCACCTGGGCCCCTCCCTGGCCAGGACAAGGCTGAGCAGGGGGGTGGCAAGTCTGGAGGGAAGAGGATGGAGGAGGAGAGAGAGGCAGCAGGGGCCAGCTGTTGTTCCCACTTTTGTGGAGCCTCTTCTTTCTCACTAGAACCTAGGGATGAGGCTGATCCTGTGGGTGACTTTGGAGGTGCTCCCACTAGGGGGGATCCTACCTCCTGGAAGCCTTCTTGAGGCTCCCTCCCTTGCTTGCCTGCTTGGAAGACTCCCTTTGGCTCTCTCCTCTGTACTTTCCGCCTCTGCCTCTGTGTCCCAAGGCCCCTCCTTCATCCCTCTGTCTCAGCCCTTGACTCCATCCGTCCTCCTCTTCCTGTCTCCCCTTTCTGCCTTCCCTGTTCTCCTGGTTTCCCCACCCTAATCTCACTCATCCTGGTGGCTCATCCTCCTTCCTATTTTGCCCTCCTGGCTTTGTGTCCAGGATTCTTCTACCTGTTGAAGATTTCTAATGCTTATCTGCCTACCCTTCTCCCCTGCCCAGTCTCCATCAATCCCCAGCCCAGACCCTTCCTCACATCTCCTCCCTCCTCTCAGGTCCCCACACTCCAGCCCCCAGGAGTCCTCCTTCTTTGGAGAGCTCTCAGCCCCAACTCCTCCTCTGCTCCTCCCTCCACCCTGCTCACCTTTAATTGAGATGCTAATGAGGCTTCTGTCCCTTCCATCCCTGGCCAACAGGCAGGCAGGCGGGCTCCCAGGCCAGGCCGCTGCACCTGTCAGGTGAGGGGGAGGAGGAGGCTTGGCTGCCAGATTCAACTGGAAAGGAACCAGTCCTAGCCCAGCCACGCCTGGGAGTAGGGAGAAGGAGGCAGCTCAGACCTCCTGGAGCCCTGCAGTCCCAGGGCAGAGAGGGAGTCAGGACAGAGCTGGAGGCCAGGGCCAGACACAGGAGGAGAGGGCCCAGGAGGAGAGAGGGAAAGGCTGAGGAGGAAGAGGAAGAGAGGCAGGATCAGAGAGCCTGGCACAGGGAGAGGAGTCTGGCAAGCAAGAGGAGAACTGAGAGAGAGAGAGACCCGAAGAGAAGCAGAAGGCAGGCAGAGGGGGTGAGAGGCAGAAGCCAAGCCACAGTCCTGAAGGAAGAGGGCCAGAGGTCGACTGACCAGCGGACAGAGGCCTCCTGCTGTGGAGAAAGAAAGGAAGGTGTTAGCGAGGAAAGCAAAAGTGGCCTTATCTGGGAAGCAGAGAGGCCACTCCAGGGAAGCCCAGAGCCAGCTCCTTGGCCCGGACTCTAGCAGGTCAGCTGGCTCCTGGAGAGGTGGAGGAGGGCGGGAGGGAGGAGAGGGGGGAAAGTGGACTCAGGGTGTGATGTGGGCATGGCCCAAGCCAGCCTCACTCTGGGCCCAAGTTGTTGATGAGGGAGGGCTCCCAAAGCCCTGAGCTCAGCCTGACCCTGACCATCACCTCCCCAATCCACCTAAGGGCTCAATGAAGGGGGACAAGCTCAAGGAGCAAGACCCTTGCCCTCCCCCACCCATCCAAGGGCTCATGAAGGGGGACAAGCGTGAGGAGCAGGGGCTGGACCCCGAACCTGAAGTCCCCCAGCAGCCCACAGAGGAAGAGGAGGCTCTGATCGAGTTCCACCGTTCCTACCGAGAGCTCTTCCAGTTCTTCTGCAACAACACCACCATCCACGGTGCCATCCGCCTGGTGTGCTCCAAGCACAACCGCATGAAGACGGCCTTCTGGGCCGTGCTCTGGCTCTGTACGTTTGGCATGATGTACTGGCAGTTTGCCCTGATGTTTGAAGAGTACTTCAGCTACCCTGTCAGCCTCAACATCAACCTCAACTCTGACAAGCTCGTCTTCCCTGCTGTCACGGTCTGCACTCTCAATCCCTACAGGTCAGTCCGTCTTCTGCCACTTGCCTGACACCTGGAAGAGTGGTCAGAGGACATAGAAGTGCTCATCCGTCAGGCAGAACCCACAGGCCCAGGGGGAGGAGCTGATGTTCTTGTACCCAGATTGAACCCCTCTGGGCAAGATAGGGAGTCCCCCCTCCCTACTTGGTGGAATGGCATTCCTGCCCAGTGGAGCCAGCCTCCCCCACAAAGGAGTGCTGGACCAGCAGGGCACTCCATTCCCATTCCTCTTCTTCCTGAAAGGGGGAATTGAGGAGGTGGACATACTGATAATTTCCAAAAGGGCAGGGTCGAGCTCAGCCCCACTGCTTCCTGGAGCAAGATGACAACCTTCTAAAACAAGATCTCTGCCACTTCTGCAGAAGGATCTGATGTAGGGCTGGGGTGTAGCTCAGTGGGTAGAGTGTGCACTTAACATGTGCAAAGCCCTGGATTCAATCCCTAGCAATAACCACCACCACCACCACCATCACAAAAAAGAGTCTAATGGAGAGTGAGGCCAGGTGAGGTGAGGCCAGGCCATGCAGGTGCCCTGGAGGTGGGTGAGGTCAGTCTTTGTGTGAAAGGGAAGCTTGCTGTGGAGAAAGCATTGTGTGTGGGGTGGGTGGAGGTTAGGGCTTAAAGCAAGCCTTGGAGGTGGGGGGTTAGAGAAGCTAGAGAAGAGTGGAGTAGGATAGAGAGCAGCCCCTTGTCAACTGTTCCCAAAAGATCCTGCTAAGATATGGAGGCCCCTGCTCAGGTGCCTGACCTTCACAGGCTTGTGTGTGCCTTGATATTTTGGGGTTTCATCAGCACTCTTTGCCAATTCTAGTCTGGAAATTAGAGAGGGTGGTAACCATGGAGAAGAGAGGAGGGCAGGGCTGTTTACATATACCTTTTATTTGTATTCACTCAGTCCTGCCACACCTTGAGAACACCTGGGTAAAGCCAGCCACAGTGCTAGGCCCAGGGAAAATGGATTCATTAATAACTCAACAACCTTAGCTCTAGGTAGTGGGGACACAAAGCTAAAATAAGGTGGAGAGGTAGGAATATAAACAAATAACTGCAGTCCACTGTGATAAGTATAATGAAAATCATGAGTCAGTCTGCCTTCTAGGAGTGCAAGATCTTTTATGAGTCTTTGTATGCACATGAGTGTATGAGCACACCCACTGGGAATGTGTGTGGTTATGGATGGTTGGGATTGGTTACATGTTGCGGGTGGAGGCCCCTCATATAGTCTGTTGTGTCCTAAGGTGCATTGTGAACTAATAAGGATTGGGAAGTCCTGTTCTGGAGAGAAAATACTCTCTTCATATAATATCCAGGGCAGGGGCCACTTGCTGAGTAAGCTACTGTATGCAGCAGCCACTGCTAAGTGCTGACAGCCAGCTCATGACATTCTCACAACATCCTATGGAGGCAGAAACTATGATCCCTGTTTTGCACAAGAGGAAACTGAGGCAAAGAGAGATAAGTCACCAGTTCACAGGGATAGTGACTGAACTGTGACTCATCTGATTGCCCGATCCCTAAACTCTGCTCCTTCTTAATACACAGGATGTGGGACTTGGAATAAATGCAATCTCCAATCAGATGATGTTTCCCTCTTATTTCTGGGCCCTCTTTGATTCCTTCCCTCAGCTTCATTTTTCCTGTAAGCTTCCTCCCCCTCTCATTCCCTTAGGCCAAAATGGAGGTGGGGAAATAGAAGGAACGGGAAGGCAGGTCTGGGGAAGGCCATGAGCAGGGTAGTAGGCACTCAATAAATATTTGTGGTTGCAAAGATGTTGATGAGATATGGAGAGGGCAGGGGTGAATCTGTTGAGGCCTGAGTATCTTCTAGAATTCTTCTGGGTTCCCAGACAGGACAGGATAAAACTGCAGGGAATGGAAATCACAGTCCTTAACAATCCCTCCTGCTGGACACACTGTGGTAGAGTTAGGAGGGAGAGAACACTTAGGAAGGAAAGGAGGAAGGGAAGGCTCCCAAGCACAGGGCAAGCAGACCAAACACCTCCTTTGTGCTTACTCCTGTGCTGAATGCTTTCTAGATTCTATCTCATTTAATCTTTTAAAATTTTTTTTTTAGTTGTAGATAGACACAACACCTTTATTATATTATATTTATTTATTTATTATGTGGCACTAAGGATCAAACCCAGTGCCTCACAGTGCTAAGCAGGTGCTCTACCACTGAGCCATGACTCCAGGCCTCATTTAATCTTTTTCTTTCTTTCTTTTTTTCTTTTTCTTTGTGTGTGTGTGTGTGTGTGTGTGTGTGTGTGGTGCTGGGGATTGAACCCAGGACCTTGGGCATACGAGGCAAGCAGTCTACTAACTGAGCTATATCCCCAGCTCTCCTCATTTAATCTTAACAAGTGCAGGGAAGTGGGTATTTTTATATATTTAATTTTTCAGATGGGGAAATTGAGGTTTATCAAGTGAAATAACTTGAACATGTCCACATAGTTAATAGTAAAAATGATAATAATAATAGCTATTGCTATGTATGTTTATGTGTCAAGCATTTTTCCAAATGAATCAAAACCTGAATTAAGTTGGGCATGGTGGTGCAGGCCTGTAATCCCAGCAGCTCAGGAGGCCGAGGCAGGAGATTGGGAGTTCAAAGCTAGCCTCGGCAATTTAGCAAGGCCCTAAGCAACTCAGCAAGACCCTGTCTCTAAATAAAATATAAAAAGGGATTGGGGGGTGGGGGTTGTGGCTCAGTGGTAGAGCGCTTGCCTAGCATGCATGAGACCCTGAGTTCGATCCCCGGCACCACATAAAAATAAAAACAAATAAAGGTATTGTATCCATCTATAACTAATAATAATAATAATAATAATAATAAAGAATGGAGATGTGGCTCAGTGGTTTAGCGTCCTTGGGTTCAATCCCTGGTACCAAAAAAAAAAAATCGGGATTAAATGATATTAAATTATTTAATCCTCACATTGACCTTGGAAGTTGGTACCATTATCCCATTTTATGGATGAGGAAACCGAGGCCCAGAAAGTTAAGTAATTTGGCCAAGTACAGACAGGTAGCGAGTGGTAAAAATTGGGATTCAAAAATCACTACCAAGAACCAGTGCACTTCAGATTAGCAATCACAAACCAATTTTGTTTGATATCAAAGCGCTCTCTCCCATTACACTGAAAGTCAAGAGCAGACAAAGGCTTCTCAGGGTTGGGGCAGTGGTAGGAGCCAGTGGGAAGAGTGATAGTAAGAGGAGGAGTACTTTTCAGGAGTCCTGAGCAGGCAGGGATCCAGGCTGGTGGCTCTGTTGGAGGAGAGAGGTAGGGTGGGTATTCAGGCTAATTTATGCAGCCCCGTGAGTGCTAACCTACCCAAGTGTGAGTCAGAACAGCCGGGCAGAGGGAGGAGCTGGGGCAGAGGGAGGAGCCGTGTGGCTCCCCCAGGGAATGAAGGGAAGGTGTGGGAATGGGTTGAGATAGAGGAACTGGAGTGGAGCAGATGGTAGCTGCAGTGTCCACCAGCTGAGGACTGCAGCCACTAGGGGGAGAGTAAAAAGATGGTACTGCCTGTGGGGCTGTGCTGCTTTGTAATATACAGGAAAGGGGACAAGGCTGACAGCTGTCCTAAGCAAGGAAGTGCTAAGAATCTGATGGGAAGGGTCCACACCACTGCTGTCCCATGAGGGGTTTTTCACCCAAAGGAAATTTCATATTCATATTCATATCCTTGGAACATAGAGCGAGTCTAGACCTAAGGGAAAACCCAGGGTTCTTGAACAATGAACTGTGAAATCTTTTTTGGAGATGGCAGAGCAGGGGCCCTGGTAAACAAGAATGGGAGAGGAGGCTGGGTGTAGTGGCACATGCTTGTAATCCCAATAGGAGGATTGCAAGTTCAAAGCCAGCCTCAGCAATTTAAAAAGGCTTTAAGCAATTTAAAGAGACCCTGTCACAAAATAAAAAACAAAAAGGGCTGGGGATGTGGCTCAGGGGTTAAAGCCCTCTAGGTTCAATTTCCAATATTGAAAAAAAAAAAAAAAAAGGGACAATTTCCCAAAGAGAGCCACTTCAGGGAGGGAGAGTAGGTTTGAGCTAGAGAGTCATCCCTGACCATGGGGGGGCCCTACAACTCACCATCTGGAATACCAGGCTTTGCTCTGCAGGCCTGGCAGGGAGATAGCTCAGACTTGGACTCCCTGAGCCTCCCATACTGATCGGGTGCTTCTCCAGGCAGAAACCTTATTCCCTCTGCAGTAGCTACTACTAGAAAATTCTTCCTTATGTAAAGCTGCAGTTTTCCTCCTGGTAACTTCTACCTTTTGGTTCTGCATTTTGAAGTAACATGGCTATTAGTTCAGGTACAGCTGTAACAGCAGCTGATACTCTGCAGGATGCAGAGTGCACTCTCACATTTTGATCTCATATCACGCTGCTTAGATGAGGAGGCAAGTATCCCCATAGACAGATGAGAATGTCGAAGCTTGATAACCTAGAGGCTTTGCAAAGTTGCCCAGCTGTAGAGTGGAGGAGTCAGAATTGGAATCTGCATCTTTAGTTCCACTTTTGGTCAGACCACAAGGTCATGTGGTAGATAAGTGGCAGATGGTGCTCCTTTGTCTCCTTACCTTTTTTTCCCCCCCCAATCATAGTAATAATAATAGTGATGATAATAAAAACAACAGTAGCAGTTGTATAGTTTTTACTCTGCCAGGTACTCTGTCCAATTCTTTTCCTAAACTGACTATTTAATCCTTGTTACAACACTAGAAAGCAGATATTATTTCTCCCATTTTATGGATGATGAAACAGAGATATAAAGAAGATGAGTAACTTGTCCAAAGCTAACCAGCACAGTGGTGAGGTTAGAGTATGAGCATGGAAAACTGAGTAGAGCTTAGTTTCTGAAGGCTGTGGGTGGAGCTCACTGCAGCAAGAACTTACCTTTAATATTTCCTTAAATTGAAATGGTTTCTAGATTTCTCACCATCCTGACTGTCTGTCCTCTGAACTGTCCTTGGT